TTTCATTTCATATCCTTCTTATGAATTTCTATATCTTCACCTTTAAGATTGTTATAATATATGTCTTCTTCTTTTTAATAATAACATTCATTTTGTTTTCAAACCATTTATTGTAATTTATAATCATAATAATAATAATAAAAATAATAATAATACACTTTATATAAATAACAATTTCCCAAAAAATACTTTGTATTTATTTATTGACTTATTTATTTATTTATTTACCCATTTTACTTTGTTAATGCAAAAGCTGTTTTAGATTACAAAAGCAAGCCCAACCTGATGTATTGAATGGTGCTTCCATAAATATCTGAGGCAAGTTTAAAAAAAAAGGGTCACTCTTTTTTGAAGTACAATGTAGGAGGATTCTTCAATCTTTCATACTGCTGGATGCAGCAGGTGAACATGAGGATACACAGCAGGATGAAAGAGGCGGATATGAGCATCCTTAAACAGTGGCACTGGTTTTGGTCTCTGGCTTAGCTGTGTGGATAAGAGTGTATTTTTGGTATGGTTTAATACTGTATGTGCCCTGCTGCATTGCAGCTGTAACAGGCTTATACTCAAAGTTTTGTGGGTAATGCAATGGCCCCAGAAATAGTGTTGTTTCAGGCCCACCTGCCATATACTGTATATCTGTGAAGGTGAATGCCCCTCTTAGCCAGGGGGAAAAGGTTTGGAAGGTGAACGTCATTCTCACTAATTGCTCACTGCGGTGGGATTACACAGGCTGCCAAGAATTATGGGAACACAGTGGGAAAAAAGAAAGCTGCTTGAATAGCAAGCCAGCAACATGCCAAGTAATGTTTTTTTGGGGGGGTTTCACACCAAGGTCTGTGCTCTGCCAATTTCTGTTGCTTTTGGGGGGGGGGAATCAGACTCATTGCCATTTTTTTCAAGACCACATTAGTGATCATTAGCAACTGAAATGGTAGCATTTTTTGTTTGATAAGTGGCTTGAAAATAGCTGTGCTTCTCAGTTTCAGGTGATGGTCACATCCAGCTTTCTGTACATCCCTAGTTGAAGCTTTCTGCTGTTTTGTATACATATTGTTCTGTGGTTTGTGTCGCTGTAATTACATTGCATAGCATATGTGTTACTAATGAAGTATGTGTCAGCAGATTTCACACACTGAAAGCTGACATGAATGGAAGCTATCCTTCATGATGCATCTCTGTAAACATATGGGTCAATTACATACAAGAGTGTCCATGCTAAAGAAAAGGTAAAATCTTGTTTGAACATGTTCTTAGACAGGTGTAATGACAGTATCATTTATTTATTCATTATTAATTTGTAATTATAGGGAATTTTCTATAGGTTGTGAATGAACTCTTTCAGTCCTTGATACCAAGAAAGCTTTGTCGTCTCCTGATCGAATTAGTTTCGATCTCATGAGTAGATGAGTTTACCATACTGACAGGAAATCAACCGAGAATATGGGATTCATGTGCTGGGTGATCAGGGTCTATTCCTATTAAGAAAATCCCTACACAGGTTTTGAAAATGTTTTTATATAATTTACATTTTTTGGGGTTTCAAATTTCTCTTGGTTTTTAATGTCTCTAAAATGGCATGTGATTTAACCAATGATTAAAAAGTAATCATTATTTGGACAAAATTTGGCTGAGATATTTGAAAATCTCTGAGGGTGCTAAAAAAATCAAAATATTGAGTAAATCGCCTTCAAATTTGTCGAAATGAAGTTCTTAGCAATGCATATTACTAATCAAAAATGAAGTGTTGATATATTTACGGTAGGAAATTTACAAAATATCTTCATGGAACATGATCTTTATTTAATATACTTATGATTTTTGGCATAAAAGAAAAATTTATAATTTTGACCCATACAATATATTGTTGGCTATTGTTACAAATATACCCATGCTATTTACACGTCACATACTGTATTTCCATTACATTTCAAATAAATGTATAGTGTACACAATCATTACTTAAAAAATTAATGAGTAAATAAATTTAAAAAAATGTAAAAGTTGTTTCTGATTACAAAAGCAAGCTTTTTTTCTAAACAACATGCACCAATTCACAATACGACCAGGACTAGACAGTAAAGAGTGCATTTAGTTGTGAAGGTCTTGTAGCATCTTTACAGCCATCTTGGTTTATATGTGAATAATTATGTGTGAATAGTTTTGGGGGAGGTGCTCCACATGACATTTAAAAATCGGGTATAACCTTGCTTTGTCGTAAAAAAGGTGCAGGGGTCCTCTCTATGATCGTTTTTTTCCTGCATGTTTGCACCACATGATTTTATTGGTGTGAAAAATTTGATAACATTGTTTGGGATTATTGGCAAGTGAAGAAAGAATAAGAAGTCAGACATATAGAAAAGTCAACAGACCAAGGGCTGTAACTTATTTTGCTAGTGCGTAAATAAATAAGTAAAATGAGGTCTTTGAAGGATCAGCATAATAGCTGTAGACTGCATATTTCCTTATGCAAATTCTAAATACTTGTTTGGATATTTATATTCGGCATCACAGAATATTCTTACCTTGAGGCATGCAGTAAAAGCAATATTCTGTTACAGAATATTTTATTGCATAACTAATATGAATGTGCTGGGATTAAGCCATGTTTATTAGGAGGTATCCTTTCACCCTTGTGATGCATGTGTATTTCACATGAAACTCAATTTGGTTCTGGTTGGGAGCCACAGGCTTTAGCCTCATAATGTCGTAGTGTAGTGTATCATTTCACTGTCTACCATGCTCTTTTTACCCATGAGTTTAAAAATTTGTCATGAAAGAGAGATTTATATTCCAATGGAGAAAAAAATGAGTAATATCACGGGTATACATTTAGACCTCTTTTAGTATGTGGAAATTGTGGGTGAACAAAAAAAATAGTTCCTCGGAGCACATGGGGTATCCTTGTGCTCGTTTGGTACATGTAATGTGAGTTCTATTTAAAGAGCATGCTAATTACAAATCAAGAGCATTCTTTGACGGGAGCTGGGACATTCCACAGTAGAGCTGCACGATTCTAATCCTTTAAATTGATCAAAAGTGATGATAAAGACATTTATAATGTTACAAAATATTTCTATTTCAGATAGTTGCTTTGAAATCACCGGAATAAATTACATTTTAAAAATATATTCAAATAGAAAGTTATTTTAAATAGTAAAAATATTTCAAAATGTTACTGTTTTTGCTGTACTTTGGATCAAATAAATGCAGGCTTGGTGAGCAGAAGAGACTTCTTTTAAAAAAAAAACATAAAAAAACTTTTGACTGGTAGTGTAAAATGGATTTAAAATATAATATATTTAATACACTAATGTAATATTAAAATTATTAAAAAGTTGTTTGACTCAATGATTCAACGACTCACTCATAACCCTACTGGTTGAACGATTATCTTGAGTAAATGGTTGATTCAATTTTAAGTCACTTTTCGCCACCTAGTGGCGAAGCAATGCAATCGACACAAACGTTATGTGGCAGTTACTTTCAAAAGCGGATTTGCTCTATGTTGGTCGCGCTACCATAGACATCTTATATCTGAATTATAAACTTTCATCCCAGTATTTCTGTGATAATATGAATGACTGTACGACTGTGTAATAATACTGTGTAATTGAAAATACTGTTTGTGAAGCTGTTTCTTAACCAAACATGGTAACTGCTCTGTGTCGGCGGCAGTGCGCACGCAGATTTGAATGATCCAGTAAGACTTTGTCAAAGGTTTAATAGACACGGGAGAATCGTTGTCGTTGTCTGAATCGAGATCGCAATCTTTTACCGATTAATCGTGCAGCTCTATTCCACAGTCATTATCGTGATAGATTTGTCATAAAAAAAGATGTTAAAGCTTGAACTGTACGAAATGTCATTTATCACCCATAAAGGTTATGACAGGAGTGTTTTCAAGTCTTTGTCTTCTGACTTCGATCATTTATTTCTAGATCTAGGTCTATGTCATTTAATTTCTTGTTTTCTTATAGTTAGATGATTTACAAATGCAAAGCCTGACATTTAAAACTATGCTATGAATTTACTGTATTTATAATTAGGGACCAAAAGTCTGAGAGCACTAGGGAAATTGTTTCTATTTTGCGATGTTATTCTTTTTTATTTGAAATTTTAATATAATGATAATGAAAAGTAACTTGATGATCCCCAGCATGATTTGAAAATTCAAAGAGCAACTTGTGCTTCAGTGGAAGCAAGAACTTCTGTCTTTTTGTACAAAGTCACATGTTCAGTACCACTAAATTATTATTTTTTTCTCCTCGTTTTTATGCTATGTGTTACTGTGCTGTGTACTGTGGCTTATTTTTCCTTACTACTATGTTTTATGTGATATGGGGGTTGTATTTCTGAGCCTAAGACAAATGTCCCCCAGGGACAATAAAGTATACCGTAACCTTAAATTGATTATTTGTTTATCAGAATTTATTTGAGAATGCTTTTAAAATTTGAGTTAAGTTCCTGAATGTGAAGAGAATTTGAATGTAGTTATCTAGAGAGGACATTGCAGTTCAAATCCGAATGTAAGGAAGTATAATTCCAATGAATTGAAATTAAAAGAAAAACTGTGAGTTTAACTAGAAGCAAAGTTCAATTTGAACATTGTTCATAATGGATAGATGAATGAATGAAATGTCAACTGTAAAATATGTATTTAGTTATATATATATATATATATATATATAGTTAGTTAGTTTAGTGTCGTCTTGTAATTACAGTTCAACTGAAATTCTAACTAATCAGTTAAAAGGAAGACTGTTCTTCAATTTTGAATTTTGCACAACTGTCTAACTAGATTTTCAATGTGGTTTCAAGGGTTTGGATCCCACTGTCTCTCTTTCTAAAATACTGCACATATAATTTGCATTTCAGAATAGCACGATGTGTCAGAATAAATAATTATATGGTTTTAACACCATAGAACATTTACATTTGGTTTAAGGCAAAATAGCAGTGCTGCAAAAATAAAACTATCTTTTCTTTGTCACTTTCAGTTACACTCAAACTCAGACAAAGGTGATGGCTCCGTCCAATATCTACTCTCCGGAGAAGGTGCCGGTACCATATTCACAATCAACGAGTTAACGGGCGACATTCATGCAAAGAAAAGCCTGGACAGAGAAAAGAAGAGCCATTATGTCCTCCACGCTCGGGCTGTCGACCGCTTCACCAACAGAGCTGTGGAACCCGAGTCCGAATTCATCATCAAGGTCCAGGATGTGAACGACAACGCCCCTAAATTCCCAGATGGCCCCTTTTCAGCCTCTGTGCCTGAGATGGCAGACATCGGTGAGCCAACAGTCAGGACCTCCGGGCTCGGGGGGGGGGGGTCTGGGGCTTTGCTGGGGGGACGGAGGGACATTTTGGTAGGAGAGCGTAGGTTTTAT